TCTAAAAAGGAAATTTGAAAGGATAGCTTGTATTGATCCCCTTATTTTGATCACGGTGCTAACCAGGAAGGTCTTTCAGGGCGTGCCAAGCTTTTTGAAAACGGTCTTTTGCATGATATAGGGGCACATGCGGGAACCACAGAACCATGGTTCAATTTTTCCTGAACGGCCCTCTGAATACCAGAAAAGGGGTCCCTAGTTCGATTCCTCGTGGTGACAAATTTTTGCATTTCGAGTTGACGGTCCAAGAACCGATTTAGAATGGACGGCCATGCAGGAAAGTCAATTTGTGCAACGCATTGTTGGGAAAGCTGATTGGACCACCGCGCGCAGCACAGCCCGATCTTTCTATCTATACCCGTGGAACTTGCAGACCATCTGGGAAAAATCCAAAAAGGGCATAAACTAAGTGTTTCAAAATTTCCTTGCAAACCTAATGTTTCATGACTTATTCCTAGCGCAATGTGAGGGATTCTGACCAAGTTGGAATAAGTGGTCACCGTCTCTTTCTCCCTTTTCAATTCCAAACTTTGATGGTAATTATGTTCTTGAAATAGTCTGCCAAATAGCAACACATTCCAGGAACTCACGATTCTGGAAACTCACATTGCACGATGAAGTGGGTTTCAGTGGTGAAGCCGCTCCTCTTTTTAATGCCGCCGATGCGTTTGCCAGATTGGGTTGTCACCTCAATGGAAAATATTTCAACAGTGTTGGTTCATTGGAATATCACCTTTACCCTCCCTAATGACCGCAATGCTCAACAAAACCGTCCCATCATCACAAACTATTTGCCCGATATCGCGACTTTGATGCACCAGTGCGTATGGTGTTGCGAAACCTTGTTAGGCTATTTTTCCGAAGGGCTTTTTGAGTCCTTCCTTCAACGTTCACAAACAGGGAAAGAAATCAGAGAGGGAAACGAACTAAAGAAAGAGAAACGAGGAAGCGTTTTCTCTCTTTTTGAGTTCATCTTTTGTTCTTCTCCAAGCGTAAAAACATCATTAAAGCAACAGTCCCAGCAGAGTTTTTACCTTCGACACTAATGGCGTGGAACGATGCGCTAGCCCTAGTCAAGAACATAAGAAGTGTGACTGAACAAAAAACTCACCTTGGAAAGCCGCTGGAAAGAAAGGGAGCTGAACGGCTTCGAAGTGGGCGTGGTTGGAAGTCGGCCGAGGGGATTGCAGCCGACTGAGCAACCACGCCCACTTCGAAGCCGTTCAGCTCCCTTTCTAGCGGCTTTCCAAGGTGAGTTTTTGTTCAGTCACACTTCTTATGTTCTTGACTAGGCTAGCGCATCGTTCCACACCATTAGTGTCGAAGGTAAAAACCCTGCTGGGACTGTTGCTCCAAATATCGTGAGATCTTAGTTGTACCTCAAAGGTACGAGCCGCGATTACAATTTGACAGAGAAATTGTTCCCTTTAGTGCAGCAGGATCCCCAAACACAGGGGTGGTTGGTCGCTTTGAAGTGCGCACCAATGAATCTAAAGCCTTCGCCTAACCGCTGCAACTGCTGCCACCTTGCCGTTCGCGGCATACATGTCGTCCGTGCTCTCTCGCGTTTTCCCTATCCTCGCAGCGCTGTGTCTCTTCGTCATCCGCGGTTGACCTCGCAAAGGAAATTGAATGTTTTCTATGATGCTTTTTATTTTTTCTTCACCAATCGTTTCCTCTTCGCACTTCACTAGTTTTCGAATAAAATAGCG